AAAGCCAGGCATTAAAATGGCATGTGCATTATACTACATTTTTGAAACATACAAGAAGTCTTACCATATTTTCATAGACTTAATGCTCCCTTATTTAATGTCCACCGAAGCACATACTCACCTAACGGTCATTTGGCAATGGACTGGTTGCCTGTCAGTATAACAGGTGAATATTTAATTATTCTTAGTAAGTATTTTTCGAATACTTCTGTCGTGAAGTGATTATAACATTTATGCTGGTAATATAGTTATTATAATATGTGTTGGCAGGCATGTTGGGGAGTGGGACCGGATCGGAGACCAGGACTGCTGATCCTGAGGACACGGCGGTATTCCTACAGCGCCTCAACGACGCTTTTGATGTGCTTAACTCCAGCACCTTCAAAGCTGCTAACCCGATGAAGGAAGCCATCAGTGGGAGAAACATCGAGGACAGGAGACGCTTCCTCCAAGATACATCCGCGTGGCTCGGAAGATGGAATGTGCAGGTAAAGACTGACGTTCGGCGCGATGTTCGGCTCCGCATTGTCAATAACATTTATTCACAGCACACGTCTTCCAATTCGTAACATTTTTATTCGCGTGTCTGCTTCATAAGTCCTCGAACGAGATCAAAGACAGCTATTTTAGGTACATCTTGAGATCAAAGACCTGCTGATGTGACACCGTCGTTTCGAAATTTTCACAATTTTCGCCAAATCAGTTTTACTGCATGGATTTTGATATGTCGTTTTGTTAGGATTTTATTGCCTTGATTATGAGGCCGTATTGAACCGTTATTATCATAAGTGGTTTGTATGCAGTAACTTTTTTATTGTAATTGTGATCATTTGTGCCTTCAGGTACCGTCGGTGCGTGGTCTGCAGCTCACCATCGCTGGCGTTCTATCGCTGTGGGACACCTATGGTGGACGGGTCCTGCAGTTCATGCTGACTCGGCGCCTCAACCAGGATGCCTGTGAGAATCTCTTCTCAGTCATTCGGTCGAGAAATGGACAAAATGATCTGCCGGATGCCAGTAAGTTTCGAATGGCCCTCCGTAAGACGGTGGCAACGAACATTCTTGCGCCACCGACCGCGAACTGCGAGCCAGATGGCGACACGCTCCTCACCGTTTTGACGTCAGTGTCCCGCAGGGTGAGGTGCAACCTCACGCAAGTGAAAGTGTCCTTAGCGAACTCCGAGCCAGTTGACGTTTCACTTGCACCGATCGATGCTACGATGTCGAACATTTTGACGTACGTCGGCGGCTGGGTGTTGCGACGTGGTGCGGAGAAACATGCCTGTGTTCAGTGCTCTGCTGTGCTCGCAAAACCCGATCCTTTGGTGTGTTTTGAACGGGAGATGATGTGTGGACTGAAAAGCTTTACCGGTGCATCAGAAGTAGACGCCGGAAGCCTGGTAAAGCCCACACAGGGCTCTTACGAGATTGTCTCGTACGCTTACCGCGCTACCCAAGTCCTGTGGCCGGCTCTATTCACAAAGTCGGGAATGCTGTCGGTAATCTTAAACCGTGTCATGACTTCGCAGCCGGCGCTAGATCTATTGGCCTTGCTGTGCGATAAGAATGCATTGGTTTTCATGATCACCCTTTTCATTCGCCTGAACCTGTACAGGCTCTGCAAACAGGGATCCTCTGGGCGAGCGCCTGCGCAGAAACAAAACAGGAAGCTGCTCAAAGTCACATCTCGAGCGTAGTCAGATAGTGGGGTGACGAGCAGGGCTGTGCCATCCTTTTCAATGATCTCATTTTCATTTCACTAGGCTGAACAGTCGCTCTTGCAGTGATGGTTGTGCAAGCTCGATGTCGAAAGTTTTTTTGCATGTGTCTAAATGTGTGTATACTATATAGCGTGACGGCAGGCTGACACGTGTGCGCGCGCGTGTATGCTTGTGTATATGTAGATGCGAGTGTACTGAGGGTGTCGCTGGCGGTTCGACCTCCGCTGTCAGTCCCCACGTGTGTGGTGTGTCATGGGATGATTTCTGACGTCATCGGTCGGGGTGCGGCGTCTTGGGCTGATGTGCGGCGTAATGGGGTGATGCGCGCTGCCGTCGAGAGTCGCCGTGTGCGGGCGAGATGACAGTGATTAGAGATGAAACGGGAGCCAGCCGCTCCCGGTTTCCCTGTGCTGCACCGCTCCCGTGTTGCTGGGCTGCACTGCGGCGCCTCGCGGCTCCAGTGGCTGTATTCGGGACTCCGCCAGGCCCCAGCGACGGTCTCGCGAACCATCTGCAACCGAGTGGCACGATCGTGGACCGGTATGGACTCCACACTGGATCGGGCGTCCGCCGTCCTGCGCGTGGGCTGAGCTCGGGCCGTTTGTGTCTGTGTGTGGGTGCGTGAGGCGCGCTCTCCGCGGACGGAGAGACGAATCTCGTGTCCAAATGACTGGGCTGACTGGCGTATCGTAAGTGTATTATCGTCAAAGGATACAATGAACAAACTAATTGATCATGATCAATCACTGAACGTCTTTTCGGGCTTTCTGTGCCCACTGCAGATTTTGAGTGGCGGGTGAGGGGGAGCATGCAAGCCAAGCCCATCCAATTCCTCTTCCGACTCCCGTCCGTATTATACTGGGACTTGGTTTGTAAATGATCAGAAAACAGATATGGGCATCACTTATGCCATGTTGTAACATTTTTCAACCCAAAACGCCTAAAAATATTCGCGGAACATATCCCCGTCATTACGCTTTACACTGCGGCCCACCGCGCGTCGTGGCTAGGTTTAGTTCATCTGTTGGCCGCTAGGTGGCCGCGCTGGTCGCTGACATCAAAGGGGCCGACGCCGAGACTCGCATCCATATATCTCTCATCCATGCTCCTGGCTACCCCCTATTAGTGGCAGGGGGGGCTGTTTACGACCCCCCCTTGATATCTCGAGATCTAACGGGCCGATTTTCAAAATGCAAACGGCATTCGATTTCGCTCAACGTGATCTACATTTCTAAAAAATAAAAATTAAAAAATGTCAATAGGGGGGGGTAGAGGGGGGTAAAAACAGGCAAATTGCAGATACATTTTAGACTGTTTATCACGGCCAGGTTTCTGAACCAATCTTAACGCAACTTTTGCCGATCGATAGAGAATGAACCAGGAATTCACATGGATCCTAAAAATATGCATTTTCAAAAATCATAGGCGGATACAGATCATTGAGATTGGGGGTACACAAAAAGTATAGTAAATAAGGTTTTTGTTGGTACTGTTTCTAAAAAGGGTGGTAATGGTCTTGTTATGTTATAATTTTCTTATGAGAGAACGACTAAAATTGTATTGGTAATGCATAGGCGGTGTCAGGGCACCTATGTTGGGAGGTAAAACATAACCCCCCTTTTTGGACGCCTGGATCCGCCTATTATAGCAAAAACGTGTCAAAAGAGGATGCACAATAACTGTATATGTTATCACATGATACCTTTTATTCACTGTTCGTAAAACTGGTGCAGCATCGTGATCTTCGCCCAAATGAATCGCTTCACGAATAGGACCCCCCAATTCCCAGTGCTCTGGAGCCGCCCCTGGTAAAGTTATGAACTTGAAATTTTCAGGGAATGTGCCCAATTTAGTTTTAGGAAAAGTCAGAAAATTTCAGCATCGTAGCTTCAGCGGTTTCGGAGATATTCCCGAAAAACCTGAGGGGTGGATAAAAACAACCCCCCCCTGCCACTAATAGGGTTAAAGGAAGACTGCCACCTTCAAAAAGTTTTCTCAGATCGGCCTATGATTTATTCCCTGGACAAAACAAAATTTTAGAATTCACCTGACAAAGTATCATCACGTGAATCGCGAAAAAAATTGTCGATTTTCATACAATTATCAATCGGTTAATGTCTAGCGACAATGTTTACACATCACTAGACTTCAAGGTCATAAGATTATTACATTTTATTTGAAAAAGTAAGGTATTTTATAATTTACTAATATATGATTTCATGAGAAATTGGCCATGTTTAATTTATTTTGCATTTAAGTTCGTAAAACATTAAAAAAATCATGGCTCATTTGGAATGGGTCTGGCCCATGTTAAACCCCATTTCCCACACTTTTTTGGAAAAAAATGATCTACTGAATATATAAGTTTAACTTTTATTTTGACACTCCAAAATTCTTCTCTGATCTCGAAACAATCAAAGTTTTGGCATATATTTACCATAAGATAAGAAAATTCATGTTTCAAAGTTATCGATAAACAGTAGAGATGTCGGTTTTCTTGGACTAAAAAAATGGCATCAAACTGAACTTTGGTCTCCGATTTCTCGCAAACGGGTTCGAATTTCGGAAAACCGACTTCAGTCTGGGACATAGGTGGCTCAGCTCTAGTGAAAACCGTTTTGTGGAAAAAAGGTGGCAGTCTACCTTTAATGAGCAATGCCCGGAGTCGGAGCTGGAGTCGGAGATGGAAATGGAGTCGATTTTTGAAGCCGGAGTCGGGGTCGGAGTCGGAGTCACCTTAAAATCTATCGATTCCGCACTCCGCAGCCCTGTTCAGAATAGCACTGGCTGTTTATGACGATCGTTGACAACAACGTGAGCATTTCGTCTTTCCGACTATCGGTCGCCGGCCGGGGTAACTTTTTCGAACATTCTCCACCCATGAGTCCAGGAGCTGGTTTGAATGGAACGAAAAGGTGCGTCCACAAACCACTGCTTGTGTTATGCACAATTTAAATTGGGGGTGAGTTGAGACTTCAGATTGTGGCCCACCACGATGTATTGTGACAGATTCGAAGACGAAACCATAAAGATATTATCTACTTTGCCCTCTCAAACACCTCTAATAGCTGGGAATCAGGGACGTGTATTCTCTCCGTAGTATATATGTACAAAAGTAACACAAAAAAACATCGACAGCAAATCAATCAGCTACTCGACATGCAATAAAAAAGCGGCATATTCACAAAACGAAAAACAACAATAGAAAAGCGACAAATCCACGAGGAATGATCACACAATCGGGCCAATCATATGACTAACACAATGCAACATTAAAAAAAAAAAAAACAATACACGATCGCAATAGCTGCCTCATTGAAGACTTCACCCAACTCAACACGGTATCAGGCATCAGCAACAGTCAGAATGCAGCTTGGGAAGGCTGCCTTGACTGGCAGCAAAGAAGGATCGAGTCACTGTCAATGTCAAATCAGCGGCCCTCGGTCAACCCTTGGAGGGGGTGGATATATGACAAGAACAGTCCGCATCGCTTAGATTGGTATCCGCATAGCAACGTGGGATGGGCTCAGCCGCGCAAATCAACCTCTCAATACAGTGACTGTGAATCTCTTGGTACAACCATCGTAGCAGACAGCGACGGCTAAGACAATCACATCATACGGAGACACGTCAGTGCGGCACAACATCAACACTCAGTGACGTCAGTATGGCGTCACATTGACGTCAAAGTGTCGCCATGTTCACCTAGCGGCGAGTCATCACTGGATTGGACCAGCGAGTCGATGGCGTCAACATTCTGGTGCTGGGACTTCGGTATTGCACCGGACACACTTTACACTCTCACACTCTCGCAAACATTCACAAAAACTCGTAATCACTCGCAGGAACACTTCCGATGACTAGCAAGTAGCGACAGCCACCACCGCCGCCTGTGACGTCATACATATGACGTCATCAACGTCAGTTGGCTGCAAACGCCGCGTCTGTGTCGTTTTGTACTGCCCGGCGACTGATGTGACGTCACTGTCCGGCGGTGGGTGTGACGTCACTCCTCAAGGCGGCGTGTGACGTCATCAGGTACGTGATGATGTCACTACGGAGTTCCGTTCTCGGACCTAAGAAGAAAAGAAACCGATTGTTAGCAAAGGCGCTACAGAAACATAAAGAAGCAGCTGTTATAAAACGTTTTTTTTTTAGAAAAAAAAAAACAAACAAAACGAAAATGAAAAGAGCGAAACGCTGATGCATCATCTAATATCGCGGAAACTCGTTTTCAAGAACTTGCAGCCTGCTAAAAAAAATATTGTGGTAGGCTCAAAACATTGACAGCGAGTCAAATGCCACTGCAAAGCACGTCAAGACCTCAGCTATGACAAGCTGACAGCAATCTTACCAGAATCAGGAATCGTATTTACTACTGAAAACACCGATCACATCAAACTACTGAAGTGACATTTACATAAGACCTACACAAAGAAAAAAACTACATCCTGGGACTAAGTACTCAAGACCGACCTATCACGTATGAGAAAAATCCGATCTTTTCACCGAGAGCCTACTCGCTACTCACTTGAGAACCTTGAGCCGGTCCTTCTCGAAGCTGTTCTCCGGGTGCTCGCAGTCGTAAGAGGCCAGCCAGAGAGCTGCAGAGAAGGATAACACGGACGTTAGGGCCGACCTAAGCCTGAACTTATATGCCTTCTTATATCCCTGGTAAAAGTCGGTGCGAGCAGGTATTGACTTGGTTCATGTTAGCTATACAGACGTCACCGTGCACTAATCGGGGTCATGCTGGATGTTAGCTTCGTTATTTCTTAATTCATAACTGATTGATTCTGGTTCGAATGGTAGCATTACAAGGAGAACGGTACATCGAAGGTTTGAACTTGGATGTGATCATCACGTAAAACAAAAAACAAAACGGGCAAAGTAGAAGCAGATGCATAGACGGATAAAGCCTAGCTCTATCCTTCTCTTTCTCATCCCCTCTCTCCCTCCCCACTCTCTCTCTCTCTCTCTCTCTCTCTCTCTCTCTCTCTCTCTTTCTCTCTCTCTCTCCTCTCTCTTTCTTTCTCTATCTCTCTCTCCCTCTCTTTCTTTCTCTATCTCTCTCCCTCTCCCTCTCCCTCTCTTTCTCTCTCTCCCTCCCCCTCCTCACTTACCATGTTCGTCATAGACGGGACCGGTCATCAGGTACTGAATGACCTTGTTCTCCTTCACAAACGGACAGGTCACCTGTTTCCAGGCTATGAACTCAGTCACCTGCTTGGCCAGCTGCCAGAACTTTTCAAAGTTGATGTGGCCGTCCACCAGCCTGGAAGGAGGAAAACGACGATTATATAGGCGGCTAGGGACGGATTTAAAGACGCGTGATATAAGGGGAAAAGCTGAGACGTACCTCTTCCATAAAAGCACCACCTACTTCACAAAACAAACATGTAAAAGCCGAGAAAACCGATCCCTCCAGCCATACTAAATTGCCAAACGAGTCAATTTGGAGCTGGCTGTAGTTTGTCAATCACACACCAAAGTTTCTGCAACATCAGGAAAACAAAAACTGACAGATAGCCCATCATTCCCCACTAAAACATTTCGGCAACCGTCAATATGCATTCAATCGTCGCCAATGAATGAATAAATGAATGAATGAATGAATGAATGAATGAATGAATGAATGAATGAATGAATGAATGAACGAATGAATCAATGAAGCAATCAATCAATCGGTCAGTCAATCAATCAATCAATCAATCAATCAATCGATCAATCAATAATTTACCATCCTTCACACTCATCCTTCCACTCATCCTTGCCACTGACCTGTTGGCGCATCCCTCGTTGAGGAAGTACAGATCCTTGACGAGTAGTGAGAAGAACGGTATGACAATCCTCTGTCTGCCATCGGAGCCCGTGTCAGAGTTGGAAGAACGCCACATCGCAGCCTGGGGGAACACACGAGCGCGAAAACACGTGTGTGTGAGTCGAACAAGTGGCTGACAGGTTTGTAGGTTATACAGATACGTGAGTGGGATGGGTGGTGCAGCACGTTTTGATATTGATACATCATAGTGGTGGCAGTCGCACAGATAATCTGCATTATTCAAATGCCAGAGAACTCCCAGATTTTCACTTACTGCATAGTTCGATCCACTAGCGGACGTGTAAGCTACAACTAATGCAACTTACGTAACTTAACTTAGCTATATGCAGCAGTTGTTTCAGTGGTATGATTTCGGACGGAAATTATATCTTATTCAACGATTCTACGGTATCACTTATCTACTTTCAAAGTTGGCATAAAGTTGTCAACAGGACACTCAATAGGCAATTCTTTTTAGCAGAATTTAAAACCTAGGAAAACTCGACCTGCAGGCAAATGCGTCGAACACTTATGGAGTTCGTGCGTAACCTTAGTCGAGCCACAAAAGACACCGGGAATTGTGGCAGACGATTCTGAATTCCTTTCCGCACGTGGAGCTTTTGTTTCATAGCAAACTCCCATCGTTCGGAGCCTTTTCGTCCATACGGCCCTCACCTACTCCCCCTCCCTCTCGCCCTCTTTCTCTTATTCGCTTCTGTTTCGTCTTTCATGTATCGCCCTCCCATTCTTCGTCTTTCTACCCTCCACCTACGATCTTAGACTCTCTCGTCCCTAGGACACTCTCTCCCATCCCCTTCTATCCTCTATATCTGCGCTTCTCTTTGTCATTCATCTCCCCAATCCACCTTCTATCTTTACTCCTACCATCCTCTGTCCTCCGCTGTCCTCCCACCACCCTCTCTCCTTTCACTATCCTCTCACCTGCAGTGTCCTCCTGTAGCTGAGGAAGTTTGAGGACGGTGACATCTGTTGCTCGAGAACAGACAACTGAGCGCTGTCCACTCGAGACCACTGCAGACATAGGAAGAAAGCGGAAATCAGACAACAGACAACATCAGAAACACACCAGATACATGGGAAGACAACATATGACGCAGGACAGACGCGGGATCAGATGTCTGACAAATGGGAGAGGCAGGGTCAGACAACAGACTACGCCATATAGGATACGGGGCAAAGAGCATCATACAACTTCAGACAAGTCAAAGGTCAGACAATGTCTGACAGGTAGACACGGGACCAGACATGTGATCGGTAAGATTAGACAAGTGGTGAAAAGGGATCAGACTATCAGACAGCGCCAAACACGGAAGAAATCATATATTCGAATGTCAGACAGAAGACACAAGGAATACGTAATCACAAACAGGCATAAATCAAAATCTATTGGCGCACAGATAAGGCCAACAGACATATGCCATCCCTTAGAAAAGAACGTAGATAGTGCGTTGTCACTCAAAACATGATAAAGCAAAATAGCTCACACTATTGTACCTACGTGACTATAAAAACAACTTAAGCATCAAAGCAATGCAAAGCATACTATTCCGCGAATCGACAAGTGCTTTTCCGTGCAACACCTTGAAAGTCAAAAGCTCCAGCTAACAATATTACTATCTGATTTCCATGAAACGTGACAAGAAAATATAATATCGCGGCATATCGCATGGGACATCCCAAGGTATAGCATCATGAATATTTTAGCAGCCGCGTTCCCTGGTCTATCGTATCACGAGCGGTGGCTACTCGCGATCTGCTACGCTTGCTGAATTCGAGTCACACTAGGGTTTCCTGAGTCCTGACACAGAGCAGTCATGATTTATTTTCGTTTCAAGATGGCGACACTACATTGTTGGGATATCTACGGCTCGCAGAATATTAAACCGAAGGCATGGGAATAATGTCTGATTATGTATACATATGAGATGGAATAGATCACAGCTGGGCTGGAACAGATTGTCATAATATGATTTGGGAGTTGAAATGTTTCTGAGCGGCAAGTCAAGGAGATGTTTTGGAAGCCACGCGACTACACAAGACACGTGCGACAAGTATGATTCATATCAACGAGAGAGTGAGCCCTGCACGTGCAGAAGGCGAGAGGGTACTTCCAACGGGCTTGTGCAAAGCACCCTTCTAACCGGTCGCTAGCGGTGTACCAAATTTGAACGCAATCGGCCCAGCCGTTCCTGAGATCTGGAAGCGGCATTCTGCACGTGCGCACGTGCAAACGGGGTCCAAAATGACTTTTGCACGGCACCCTACTAACCGGTTCCCAACCGTGTAGCAAATTTGAGCGCAATCGACCCAGCCGTTCTCGAGATCTGGAAACGCCCCCTGCACGTGCGCACTTGCAGTAGCACCCTAACCGCAACACATGGGAATGCATTGTCTGGTGGGTGCCTACCTGTATGCCAAGTTTCAGCAAAATCGCCCAAGTAAATACCGAGTTACTGAAATGGGAACAAATTTGGCACCTCTTATTGTTGTATTTTGCACGTGCAGTGGGGGTCACTCACATAGATCAAGAGTATCCGACCTTTGGTAGAAGGAATGCAGCTACCCTATAAAAATGACCGCAAGACAATCGCTCAAGCCGCTGCTGAGATATGGGCCTCTCAAAATCATTACTTTTGCAAAACTGCTTGAACACCCTTGACTTTCCACGTGGCACGTGCCACGGCGGTCACTGAGATGTATCAAAAGTAGTCAATTACGGGGTAGAAGGGATGGGGCTACCCAGCAAAAAAGACCGCAGGCCATTCGGTCCAGCGGTTGCTGAGATATAAGCCTCTCAAAAGCGTTACAGGCCGGGCCGGGCCGCTCATACTGAGATTTTTCCGTTATATTGAAAAGACTTCGCTTCGCTCGCTGCGCTCGCTCGCTCGTAATCAAAATCAGGATGCTCATAATACTGAAGTCAATTTAACACGATACGATTATCACTCACCCCAGTCACACTCACACTTCTCACAACAACCTACTAGCCAAATAAATCATTCAACTTCACCAATCCAAAGCGACCCCAGGACGTCAATCTCACCGTCTTCTTGAGCCGGGCGACAGGCGACATGTTCAGTCCGGCGATGATGGCCATGAGAGAGTTGAAGTTGCCCGTGTTGAAGCACTCGCGTCCCACCTCTATCCAGTACTCGATCAGGCGGACCCGCTGCTTCTTCTTCACGTGCTGAGGGTAAAAAAGAGATGGGTTATAACACTCGCGTTCCACCTCTATCCACTATTCGATCAGGCTTCTGTTGCTTCTTTTTCACGTGCTGAGGGGGAATAGATAGGTTGCAATGTTACACACAGGTGGCTGTGCATCCAGAACATCAGCGAAAGTGGACATCTAAACATATAACGACGGGTGATCTAGCCGGTGATATGTCCAGCGCTAATGCTCTAGCTAGTGATTACAAAAAGTTTTAGAGTCGTCTGTCTTTAGTAGCATTCTTCATAGCCTTTAGTATGACTTTAGCCATCTTTACTTAGTGTTTTCTGTGTACGAAAGACAACTTAACAGCTTCAAAAGTCAAAACAAAAAACCTAGTGCAATCAACGCGAATCCATTTCAGGAAGATTCCATCCACATGCCATCTTTTTGTCTAGTAAAAATGATAAAATGTCATCTCTTTCCGTTCTCGGCACTTATGCCTTTCAACGCTAAAAATGAACCACATTTCTCTCTTTCGCGACCCATCAAATGATGTTTGGTTTGCATTAATCAAACACCCTCACATTTCTGCGTAATTCGAGTGCTCATCATCCACAGCCACTCTACATATCTAGGTCGGATTTCGAGTGGTGGGAAGCGCCCGATCCCTTTGGTCTTGCAATTAGCCACATCGCTTATCGTTGACGAGATGAATCGATCATCTAAAGGATGATTACACTTGGAAATTGACAGGATATAGAGGGGACTCAGCGAAGAGCTCAGTCTCAAAATTGTCATTTGTGATGGAAGTAGGTGTAGCTCCACTTTTAACGCTGTGAATGTGGCAAAACGTTATGACACTCACGTAAACCTCGCCGAAAAGCACTATTGTCGTTTCGGGTAGTGTCAAAAACACCCCATGAGTGATTTCACTATTCAAAATACCCACTGTTCTTGCTGGTGACTGTGAATGAAATATCTAACTATTCAAAACTTCGTCTCATACTTACCATGCAGACTTCTGTGGCCACCATGTAGCTGAGCCTGTTGAACCACTGGATGTAGTTCTCCAGGTTCTTGGTCGTCTTCAGGTCCTTGTAGGCTGTGTCAATTCGAGGAGACTCCTGAGGCAAACGAAAAAAAAAACGTTAGGTCACCGATAAGGCGAATGACAAAAGACAACAGGATTTCTACGCCATCACTTTCTCCAAAGGTAAGTTAATCACGAAGAACATTTTCAGAGTAACAACACTGATAAAGTAGCCATGAAGTAGCCAATGATAATGTAAAAATAAGAGGAAATGTGAGAAGCATACAGACAAATGCTCAAATAAACGGCATTTACACTTTTGCCCATTAAGAACACCAGACCATCCAGGGATACCAAAAGTGGCACTGGTCCCGTGACAAAATGCCGCCCAGACGTTCAGAATGACCACCATTATCATGTAAAGTGACACTACCGAAGACAGACGGCCCATACACCAAGCTTACATGTTCGACACAAGCCGGTTTATGGCTTAACTGAAGGCGGAGCGCCAGTTAGCACAAGCCTTTATGAAAGATTACAAAAACCATCCATTAGGAATAAAGGATGTCATTTCATAATCCACGCACGTCAATTTATCGCATTAACATTAGACTTCTCAGTGCGAAAAAAGCTGATAACGCAAATAAGAAAAGGGATTATGACGAACAATGTATCTCTCTCGCCTCTCTCTCTCTCTCTCTCTCTCTCTCTCTCTCTCTCTCTCTCTCTCTCTCTCTCTCTCTCTCTCTCTCTCTCTCTCTCTTTCCCTCTCTCTCTCTCTCTCTCTCTCTCTCTCTCTCTCTCTCTCTCTCTCTCTCTCTCTCTCTCTCTCTCTCTCTCTAATCTTAGCAATCCAATCAGCGATAATGGATTATAATCGTGGTACATGCGCCGGAACGGTATCATCACGGACTCATTTCTACGCAATCTTACTCCTATTGCATCCTTGTCCACCTTTTCTATTCTACTGATATCGTATCCGTCTTTTCTCTCATGCTCATACCTTAGGCATATCCGCCTTTTCCATCCAGTCTCCTTACCTCAAATCCCTCACCAAATACCAAAATACCTTCGACGGCTTTCCTCCGCCACAAAAGCGACCGGCTGAGTCCCTTCCAAGAAAGCATGTTGTTCCGCTTTCCCACCTTCTCCCCACAACACAACACTCCATCTGAGAACGGCATCTCTGCACCGTTGAGGAGCTTTCAGACCGGATAGCACGCACCAGCGGACACATTTCTGTCCAGTCAGAACGCTGTCTGAACGCTGTCGTTCCGCCCAGTAACGCCTCCAAATCAGGAGATATTCAGGCGACTCACATTCGGCCAATAAAGCCCGGCTGGCGGATTGGGTGTCTGTTCGATAGCTGCTGTTGACGCTAACGGAGACAGCCGCGTCGTCCAATAGGAGCGACGGAGGCGTTATCTCGGCGCTTCAAAACGGTGACCGTTTGATTTTCGCACTGCGCTATTTCTACACTGTTGATTCTCTCTCTCTCTCAGTTGGATTCGCTCGACGCCAGATTATTCATATTCTGGGCCCTGGGAAGGCGCTGCACGTTTCCCTCGAACAGGTGGCGATGACAGGCAGGCAACAGAATAGGAAGGAATGGTCGGCGGGAGAAGATACAGCTAGAGGTAGCGAAAAAACGAAGGGAGACCCAGCCAGTCCGGCGACCGGGAGCGAAAACAGCAACGCCAAGCAACGGTCATAGAAAATATCACCAAAAAATCGGTAATCAAAATTAACCCTCGCCCATGTAGGGGGGGGGGGGTTGGTGCAACCCCCCCCCCTGAGGCTTTTCGGAAATAGTGCAAAAACGGCGGCCAAATTTTGGGTACCTTATGGGGCAAACCTTGCGCATCTTTTGATAAAAAAATTGACCGGGTCATGTCAGGTCACGGAGTTATGACGTCACAAAGGGAACAGCCTCCGGCCGGATTTTCACAAACTGAGTGCCAACGCCCGAGGTTTCCTGCCGGTGGTACGGACATCGGTTGATGGATCGTGATGAAACTTCCCATGCATGTTAGGACAAGTATTGGCTATCATATGGCATAAGAAACTTGACCGGGTCAGGTCAGGTCACGGAGCTATGACGTCACAAGAGGAACAGCGTCCGGTACTATTTTTGAAAAGCGCCCGAACCACTATTTTGCTAATTCTTGTCACCTCAATGGGAATATGCAGCAATATTAGCTTCTATAGGGAGCAAATGGACCTCCCAAATCCAAAAATACAATCAGATTTCAAAAATTTAAATTTTGATTTTTCGAATTTCTGCCGCCGACTGTGACCTTGCCGACTTCCGGCGCTCCCAACGCGCCATTTTTAGAGCTAGGGAAACGAAATACATACCAAACGATAGAGAATTGATCAAGGAACACGATAGTGAAGGTTTCAAGTCGATATCTCCCACCGTTTTGCCGCAATCGCCGCGGAAAGTTGAAATAAGTCTATTTTTCCGAAAATTTGACCTTTGACCGGTCAAAAGTAGGTCAAATGTTGACCTAGGACCAAAAAATATACCACCAATCGCGAGATCTCGGCGAGAGCAATCCGTTGGTCTTTTCCGCTAAGCTCTACGACGCTCCATTTTCAAACGCCAAGGGGGGGTCGCACCAACCCCCCCCCCCCCCTGCATGGGCGAAGGTGGCAGATCGCCGTTTACGGGCGAGGGTTAAGCTGCCACTGTATTTGCAAAGCTACCTTTTTATTGTTTTATTGTTTGATAGGTACGAGAAAAGTACATTGAATGGGGATTTTCAAGCATTTTGAACGCTCAATCGAGAATATCAGCACGATAAAAACGTACAGCAATGCCGTCAGGGACTCTCTTTAGTAACTCAATTTCCCTCAATGGCATCTACGCACCAAAATATCTCCATTGTCGACGTCACATCAGCCATTACCACAGCCAGAACGTGCGCCTTCGCCAGAGGAGAGAAGCCTCACTGAACCACTTTCTAGATTGGTTCCTGACGATCTCATCACCTCGGAAACAATACTCTCCACCATCACTGCCACTCGGGGCTAGCCTCTGCAGCCTGCCTCCGACAGTCACGTCGAGCAAACATTGCCACCTTAGCTGTTGCGATCGCTCCCTCCGAGCCATTTTTTGACGCTGCAGCCGACATATCTGACACTCCCGATACTCCCGACACGATCTCTGACATTGGACGATGACAGGCTGTCAAAGTTTTCTGAGTGTGGCGCGGTGGGGTGTCAGCACCTCGCGGCCCGAGTGTCAATGAGGTGTCAATGAGGTGTAAGCTAGGTGTCAGGGAGGTGTCAAAAAGTGTTAGAAAAGTGTCAGTTTTAATACCGGGTATCAGTAGCTCCGAGCTAGTAGATCAGTGTCCACTGACCCGGTGTTATGCTGTGGAAGGGGTGGGGTGGAGATACAAACTTGAGCGAAATGGATGAAACTCTTAGATAGTAAAGAAAAGAGGCACGAAGGGAGGAAAAGCTAGATATATATGCAATGCATGCTTGGATGGGTTGAGAATAAGAGAGGAAGTGAAAAATTAACTCGTTAAAATTCAGTATATACTTTTTACTATTTTCTCTCCCATGCTACCTTACTGAAGATGCCAGCCATTGCAAGCAATTACCCGGCATCCATTACCTCGGGAATCGGGATATTTGAAACCACCTGCACTCAAAAGCTAACTATGAAACATTACCTAAAGCAATGCAACATGCCTTCGTTTAGTACAAATTTGACGCTTCAATTTTGCAGTTACTTGAAGATTCAACTTCAGTGTCGAGGTGACTATAAAGGCAAGTAAACTAGTCGGGTGCTTCACTAGCTTTACGCTATTCAAACCTCTTTGAAGCGAGTTGTTCATTCGTCATTCTTACGTAAATTGATAAGCCGAAGCCATCATCCAAGAACATAGCAATTCTAAACTTCATCGGAATGTTCCTCAGTGTCATTCGAGAAACTACTCGTAAGTTCCTATGAGAGTAACTATCTGATGTTTATCCTCCTTTAGTCAGTCAGACGAATAGGCTGCACACATGCACAATGAATCTGAAATCGTCTTGAAGCCCAAGCTACCTGGAAGTGGTTACAAAAGTAAACCGGACGACTTCCTAGACATGCCGTTTTATGTTTGAGAGCTAAGCGAGATTCATATCAGGCAAAGTTGCTTATAAGTTTAGCAAGAAGTCGGAAGACGCCACAATAACTTCTATGCTGCCAAAATACTCTAGTAGCAAGTGTGAGTAGAAAGCCCCACTAACTTTGCACAATTCAACCCTCTGCGAGGAAAAGTCGACACGGTACTCGACAATGAATAATTGCTTAAGTTGAGATTCGGCACAAAATTGTGTTTTCACGGGGAAAGCTATTTTAACTTTTTACTTCATTTCCACAACTGTATTATGACAGAACGCATCTTCCGACCATAATTAAAAAAGTGAGTCGTTTTAAAGTGGCGGTGTTTTCTTACACGTAAGGGAAAGAGCGCCAGATCCACACTGCACTATTACCTAGCAAAGTAGCGCAATCGTCTGAGCAGGTCGAATTCGTACATGCTGAGTTTCATCATGTCTGCCATCTGATGCCATAAAGGGGCTTGACAAAAATATCGATCATATCAAAATAGACCCCAACGATGGTAACAACTATGTGTGCAGGAATGAAATCCCAGAGCCTCCTGAACGCCCAATGCCAGCTACAGCCAGCCGCCAAAACTACAGCTAACCACAGCCTCAATACCTGATCACTCGGTAAGAAGCTTTTTCATATTTTTATCTGTTCAATGTCTAGCAATCCTTTCTGTCTCTAGCTTAAAATTTAGCTTATAGTTAGCTTAAAACTCGGGAATCTATGCGTAAGCCATTTCCTCTCATATCCCTCCACCGTTCATAAGTCATCACGTCAAGCATCCTATCATCTTTATCTCCTTTGCATCTACCCGTTCTACCGTCTACTTCTCTCCCTCCCTCCCTTTCTCTCCCTCTATCTTTTCTCCCTCTCTCTCTCTCTCTCTCTCTCTCTCTCTCTCTCTCTCTCTCTCTCTCTCTCTCTCTCTCTCTCTCTCCCTCCCCCCTCTCTCTCTCTCCACAGTTTCCTCACCTTTGCAAATGCCTGAACAAACTCCTCCGGTCCGATGTAGGAGAGTCGCTGCAGCTCGATATGTGTCAGCTGCTGAGACAGCACCGCCGGCGACGGGCATACCTCGCTGATATCCGTCTGTGAAAAGTCAGGTCGAGGTCAGTAACAGTCACAGGTTAGGTCAGAATGGCCAGGTCGGGTCGCTCAGGTCAGGTAAGCACTGATTAGGTCCTAGTCAAGTCGTAATGGCGAAAGATAAGGAAGAAAAGGCAGGTTATAGTAGACAAGAGAGAAGATGGTAAAACCGGACACACCGAAGACCAGAGATAATGAATGGGAGGCAACAAAGGTGAAGGGATGGTGAAAGCAGGGACAACCCTAGGCTGAAAACGTCAAATAAAGATAAGGAAAGCACGATGCCAAAACTGAGGACCATTATCACTAGAATGCAAACTTGGAATGTTAATTGTGCTCTGTTTCATACCTCAAGTCTCGTTGGTTTCATAGTAGCAATGACAAAGTCAGCCAGCATGGATGCATATTCGTACCCTGTACCATTGCAGTACCGGGTTCAAAGATACATAACACCGCCGCCACGACAGTTCATGTCTCCGCTCATATGCAGCCAAAACCATATATTATACGAGCATGTCCAGACTCAGTATTCAATGTCGTTCATCACTAAACCCGTCATTGCATGGCAACATAAATTCCATCTTTCCATGGAACGAGACACTATCTACAAAGATACATACTGCCGGTGTTACATAAAGTGACGCTACTTACCACATTGGTGCTGTTTTGGGACTTGACCGCCTCAATGTTGAGCTTCTCCACGTAATCTTCGTATTTCTCCAGGCACGTGAGTTTGTCGAGCAAACTCTCCAGAACTGTTCTCACCTCGCCTTGCAGGGCTGAGGAAGAAAAGATTATCCCGTTAAGAATTGCTGAAACACACTCATTAAGTCCAAATTTGTCGTACGAAGTTTCCTGAAGAAACTAGACTGCAGGGAAGTATGCAAAAATTTATGCGTTTCGGCATAAAAAAGACAACATAATCACACCTTCCAACGCCAGATGTTTCCACGTAATCACATAAACTTTCCGAGCTCGCTTCCCACCCAGGCATTCTTACAACGAACACCACGAAAGCATGCAATACTATCTGCATTTCTGAGGCGATGAACCGTGCAAAACACTGAGATGATCTCGCATCAAACGTGGGACGCACCCATCTGAGTTACACCAGCTCAGTTTGCCACGGTCCGAAACAACACTCCTCCCTCCACAGCGCAAACACCACGCCGCATTCAAACTGCGATCCCGCGGCGCTCAATCAAAACAAGACAGCGCTCAGCAGACAAAAACACACTCCCCAGACTCCACCCCTCGCTAGTGTCCGTCGTAACCCGGTGCCTGCCAGTGAGATAGGGTAGCGATAGTGAAATGATGGCGAAAGCCACGCGGGGCGGCGACGGCGCAGAGAAAGCAGATGTCTGTAATAAAGACGCAACACGGCTAGGAAACAACACTAAGAAAAAGTCTCACCAATCCAGCCTGTGTTTCAGGGTCCAATTGGGATGCCCTCCCCAAACATTAAGTTTTGTGTGTGGCGTGTTCGTACATATTAAATGTCAGGTCATCCTTGGGTAAATCCATATCGTAATGAGTCTCCCGCATGCTGAACAAAGCGACAAGGTTTATGAAAAAGCAACACCAGGCAAACTTGTAAGTTGTACGTTTATCTATAAAGCGTTTTTTATGTGCGGTTCGATGGCATAAAATATTGCCCCTGTCCGGCAGAGGCCTGGTAGCTAAGTGCGCCAGTCAGTTTCACCCGGAAAATCACAGCCAAAGGAGGAGGCGTGTAAGTTTGTGCCAGTAAGATACATTGGGTCTGTCAGAAGAATGGAAGAGAACGCTCCAGCTAAATGGCTTCGGCGTAGAACAGAGCAAAACAAAACGGCGCTGCCATATTCTGCACTGCGGGATAGGATAGATTCCTGGATCGATCAGTGAAATGAAACATGATGATCTGATTTCAGGAAGTAGCATAATTTGAGGACCGTGAATCAACGGGAAAATGAGCATGTCGTTAAATTCGGTCCCGTCTCTAATTTTGCTCACTGGTATTAATTTCGCATGCCATCATTTTTAGATCACCTTCGCCCTCCGTTGATTACGACCCTGACCTCTGCCTATTCTGACCCTGGCCTCTGCTAATTCCATTCTGATCTTGCCCATCATGTGCTAGTGTCATTGAGCCCACCTTCATCCTTCCTCTGACTACCCCATCTGACCTTCCTGAACCCTGTTGCCCTTTGTTAACCTTTGTTGACCTCTGTTGACCTCTGCCTACCACATTTGACCTCTACTGAGTCTGTTGAACACGTTGACCTCTCCTGAACCCTGACATCATTTTGACCTCTCCTGACCCCTGTTGACCTCTGTTGACCTGCACTGACCTTGGTTGGCCTGGATGCAGCGCTGTGAGATGACCCGCACCTGAGCCATCACTCGCTCATCACGGAAGTCGTACGGGAATGTGTCCGACCATTCCGAGAGCAGCTGAAGCACGCCCGTGGCCACCTGGAGATGGTTGACAGTTAGACAGAACACGGGTGCGTGATAGAACAGGACAAAACATATTGAGCGGACAGCGGATTCTTGGAACACGGGCAAACAGATATTTTGGGCACGGATACACCCACAATTAGGGCACGGAGCCATGGTAAGCCAGAAAACAGCCAACATGAGAGGTTGGGGCATAAGAAATTGCAAGACACTTGTACGTGTCATCATGAAAAAATATAACAAATGTGTGCCTCAGCGAGATACTGGGATGAAACAATGCAATCTTGCTATCTGGAGAAATAAACGGTTATTTCACCCAAGGGAAAAGCGCAACTTACCAGAAGACTTCACAGAAACGCAACGGTGTTAGCAAAGTCTCATATATTTACGTTGACTGTCACCTAGCACAATACGCCGAAACAAATAAGCGTACATAAACTTTCGTTTGCTATATGACGTCACTGCATCATATGACGTCACGATCACAGTCGGGGACCCACCTTGGCGTTGTTTGTCCGCTGCTGGTGAGTTGTTCCCTCCGTTTTGGTCACATTGGCCAGCCTCTGAAGAAGCTCGTGGGGCCGAATGTAGAGCCTGGAAACAAACAAATCAGACGTCAGAAAATACATACCGATATTTACCGCATACATACTTATAGTGACAATGAAAGTGGGTACTGTGGAAGTGAAAACAAGAGAGAAAAAACACGAGAGCACAAGGTTGGCAAATGACTCGAAAACGGCTTTAATTAGCATTGCCTTTGACGTTTTAAATCAACGCTCTATGTAAAGTTCAGTGCTCATCATTTTATGAATTCCTCAGATAATTTTTTTTTGATGAGCGGTGACAGATGGCAAAAGGTCTCAGCACCAATCACGTCACTTTTAGCATCGACGTTACAGCCAGAAATTGTTCTGTCGAACACATTTCGCTGATGTGGAAAGTGCACCTCTTTTGACAGTCGCGAACGCTAATTAGTAAAAATATTACTTTTAATGACGTCTGAATATCGCACATCGCGTTTTAAAATTTGTGTGGAGGAATTAAGATAGATGCAGAAGTCATTATCAATACCGTAAAACGGGGTGTTAAGGGACAGTTTTGAGGTGTTTTGTTATATAACTCAAGAAGGGTTGGAGATAGAAGCATCAAATTGTCAGCATTTTATGTGGAATTTGGTGCTTTACATGCCTGCCACATTAAACTTTTTAAGATTTATACCTGCATATTATTTTTTAATATTTTTCATCACTGTCCCTTAGCACCCCAATGTGGGGTGTTAAGGGACACCTATATTATTCCAAGAAATGGTCATCAAATGCCCACAATTGGGGTGTGGAAGGGCACACAATTTATTTATTGAAATGTTTTGCATATTCTGTCACAAAACAAGTCAGGTTCATTCACCACTAATGACCTTTCTAACCAATTACGTGTAATGCAGTTTACGCTTGTGGAAAATGTGCTAATTATAAGGTAAACAGAACCAAAAAGTAATCTTCTGTCATCAATAAAAACCCATGTTGAAGCTAGTCACTTGTCATTATGTTGCCCTCTTTGTTTTAGCCTTTCTATGATGACATCACATTTACCTACATCAGTCTCCATTGACCCATCATTGTAAAAGAGAGTGTTGAGATGTTTTTTTTTTACATAACTTAAGATGTGTTAGAGATAAAAGCATGAACTTGCCAGCATTTTATGTGGAATTTGGTGTTTTCCATGCCTACTGAAAGAAAACTTAATGAAATTATATTTAGATATTATTTTTTATTTTTTCTTCCCTGTCCCTTAGCACCCCACATCCACCTCAAAATATGCATGTATCCGGAAAAGAGGAAGAGGATAATGAATGAATGGGTGGATATGCAAAAGTTTTTCAGGAAACATGTGCAATACATGTGACAATACACTTATGCATTCATTTTCCCTGTACACCCACTAGTTTATGTGGTACACACAGAGTTTTGGAGATGTTTCAATTTTGTGAAAATGTAGCATGATTTTCAAATCTATTTTTGAACCAAATCACTTACATGAAAAACCATACCATTTTGTCCTATGGTCAAGAGCAAAACAGTGTCAACTACCACACTGAAGTTTTTATTGAACCTTCTCAAATTAGGAAGTTAATATGACTCAAAGTTTTTCCCATGCAACTGTCCCCTAACACCCCACTGTCCCTTAACACCCCATTTTACGGTATATTAAACCACAAACCTGGACCTTGCTGCTCGTTAACATAAACACAAACCTTTCAGAGGTACACCATTTTTCATCCTATCAACGTCAATGATGGCATCAACGACTTCACCAGCAACATCAACACAATCATTGTCGTCGTCATCATCGTCGTCATCGTCATCTCACCTGGCGGAGAGTAGGAAGGCGAAGATGTAGGCCCGGTCGGGGTAGTGATTGGCGGTCGGGATCAGGTGTCTGATCAGCTCCTCCAGAGAGCCCGAGATCAGGTCACCGTTCTTATAGTGCAGCTGCTGTGAAAGAGAAGGTAGAAAAGTTGTTATTTTGCGTGAAAAAGATAGGTGCTTGCTTACAGCACATAGCAATACATGTGGGGATGCTAGGCTTCGGTGTAGAGTTTGGATACATAGGTCACATTTAGGAGCTCACAGTATCAATACAACTCAGATCAACATCAAAACTTGTCTTTGGTTTTAGCATAAAACCAAACCTGAATTTGCATCAGCCTGCATGAAACCATCGAACCCACGTGGAGCCGACCCTTCCAATCAATAACCTAAACGACGTGAAACAAACAACACTCGACCAGCATCCGATGCCCGTATTTTCCACCGCCGAAAATCCCACATGATCCTCGTAACGGAACCACAGGTCCAACGTAAATAGGCGTGTCAACGCAAAGTCGCATTTTCTAAAGGATCCGCCATGAGTTAAGAACACATCAAGGCATCAAACCCTCCTTCGCACTGCATTAGGAGAGCTTGATAATAAAAATACTGTATGACTCAGACCACAATACATCATATTGAGCTCTGGCGAAACATTTGCCGCTCAGTGTTTGATGTAATTTTTCTGAAGGTATAGAGAGCGCATTGCGAGCGAGGGTTTTCCCTCATAAGTCATGGCACACCCACGAGAAGGTAATTCCAGGATAATGCAAATGGCATTGGACCCATACACACTAATGGATATAAATGGCCGGCAGGTGATCTCGGACAGGAAATGACAGAAAAAAAATGTTGTGCAGAAGAAAGCAAAACATATCATGGAAGTGATAAAGACAAACTAAATGGGGAAAAAGCTAACAAAATACGCACTGCATGATGCATGTACTGGAAATTCATGAGAACGACCTTTTAAAGCGGATACCAAACACGAAAAAAACAGGGCAAACGAAATCGCTCAAGAATTCATCTTGTGCACGTCAACAACGAATAAATTATTCCATACATAGCAAATAGTGAGAAGGGCTAAAAACGAAGTTAACATCAGCTCAGTGTTAAAGAGGATATTTTATCAAAAAACGAAAACCAGACACTGAAGCTACACATTTTTTAAGTGTAACTGTCGATCACTACTGAAACCCAATGACACAATAAGTCCTTGGTAGATACACTGAAAAACATGAAGATCAGTGAGTGGTAATGCGACAATTATTTCATAAATATGCAAGATATTGCAACAAAAATTACCCGACGTTTCGTTTATAGCCCTTGAAAAGGTTACAATAAACGAAACGTCGGGTAATGTTTGTTGCAATATCTTGCATATTTATGAAAAACATGAAGATCATTCCCAGACGATATGAGTTATTTTGTAAGCATTACTGTTACATGAAAACACGCGTGAACGCCGTAGCATGTGCCTTACATTATTATTTAATTATCCATCATTGCTCAAAGATTCAAAGGTATAAATGTCAAAGATTGACATTTATACCGTCAAAGCTTGTCAAAGCAGCTTAGCTCCTAGGTCCGTGATGTGCCGTGTTAGTTTGCTGCCCTGAAACATATCCGCATCGCTCCACCTCCCACTGCACGACCACACTCCACACGTCCACAATCTGTCCACGTTCCAACTATACAGCAGTGTTCGCCATGGGCCGGGCCAGCCCAATGGGCCATGGGCTGGGCTGGGCTACGGGCTGGGGTGGGCCCTCAAATATGAAAGATCGATGGGCTGTGGATGGGCTGGACCAAGAACTGCAAAGTGGAGTCAGGGGTTTGCGACTGAGACAACAACCATAACTACATAGCTTATTACTGTGCAAGACTCAAAAACGAGTTTATGAAGCACACATGTAATGTGCATTGTGCATGTTGCTCGCAAAAGATTGTTGATTTGCTCTCTTTGGATACCTGTGTGGTGTCAATGTTACAGGGAGTTTGAGAAATCCGTGAGTTTGCAAACTCCCTAGTGAGTTTGCAAACTCCCTGACCCATCAGTGACTTTGCAAACTCACTAGGAAGTTTACAAATTCACTAGGGAGTTTGCAAACTCACTGACCGGTCAGGGAGTTATAGAAATTTCAGAGTGATTGGGCCAAATAAAAACAAGTGTGCAACATGTGGGTGGCATACGTGCCATCCGTGATGTTAAAACAAAGGAGGCTAGCTCTAAGGCCTCGCACGCTGACAAAAAGCTTATAGATCATTGTGTTTCGAATGTGTCATTCTAGCTTAGTTGTGCGTCGGCGAGTGGGCCTGAATTAGTACTGTTTCGTTAGCGACAGAGACACGTGGAGGGACGGAAGAAGGGCGACGTTGTTCATGGGCGGAAGCCGCCTGCTGGCCATGTGTGGACGGGGTGAGAGGCGGCAGTGAGGCAGAGAGGGCGCAGGCGAGAGGACGGGTCCGTGTGTGGTGTTGGTGGCGTTGGAATGGAATGGAAATAGAAGACTAGACCAACTCGGACTTTTGTCGGAAATACCACAAGCTATTTCGGCATTTCTCTGGTTCAAGCGGTGAGAAGATGCCAGGTGAGAGCTCTGAGCCTGGTGACGGAGGCACCGGAAGAGCAGTGATGGAGGCGACGCCGGCGTTCGACGCCAGAACCATTCCGGAATTTGACGGAACTGGGAACGTCGTGGAATGGCTGGAGCAGGCTGCTCTCCTGTGCGAGCTACGCGCGGTATCGTTGATGGCGGTGCTGCCGACTCGGCTGCGCGGTGGTGCTTTCGCGGTGTGGTCGCGAATGCCTCCGGAGACTCGCCATCACCTGTCCAGTGTGAAGGCCAAGCTACTGAGGGCCTTCGCCATGGACCCATTCACAGCACAGGCCGAGATGACCAGACGCCACCTTCGTCCCGGAGAAACAGCAGACGTCTATCTGGCGGCGCTGCAGCAGCTCGCTGAGCTGATGGGTGGTCTCCCCGAAAGGGCCATCGCGATCGTCTTCGTCAACGGACTGCCGGAGACTGTGCAGGCCTCGGTCCGTGACGGGCTCGGGGAGAGCTTCACGCTGGAGTATGTCCTGGACCGGGCGAGAGCAGTGCTCTCCAGGGCGACGGTCACTGCGGCGGGGCCGGCGGCGGCGGCGGCAGCGGCGACGGCGGCGGGCGGCCCGTCGCCCCATCACAGTGACATCTCAAGGTCGGCTCGCCGGCTGGGTCCGATCCGCTGCTGGACCTGTGGCCGGCTGGGTCATGTCGCCCGGATGTGCCCAAACGGCTGCGGCGGGGGAGCTGCATCAGCGCAAGCGTCTCCTCCGCCGCCCACCGCGCCGGCAGCAGAGCGCCGGTGATCATCATGCTACTCAACGGACGGCCGTGTCACGCGCTGGTGGACACGGGCTGCGAGGAAACCGTGGTGTTTGTTGGGTGTTTGAACAACTGGGATCAGTGTGAGATAAATATGACGGCGGTGAATGGTAGTGCGGTGCGATGCTGTGGGAGGGCAGATGTGAGTCTGGAAGCACAAGGCCGCCGAGCTGCGGTACGTGCTGTGGTGGTAGCGGAAAGGCTGATGGGTGTCGATGTGTTGCTGGGAATGACCGGATTGGAGGCGCTGGGCGGTGTGTTTGTTCGGGCAGGAGAGGTGCGACTCGGGGGCGGCGGTGTGACGAGAGAAGAGCGATCGGGGTGTGCCGGTGTTAGGGCCGAGTCGAGTGATATGTCTGTCGCTGTGGTTCAGGCGCGCGGCCCGGGGCTCGGGGACGGCAGTGTGACGGGAAAGGAGCGCTCGGAATATGCAGGTGTTCGGCCTGAATCGAGTGGTTCATCTGCCGCTGTGGTTAAGGCGCGCGGTCCGGGGGACAGACGGATCGAGACGGCGGACTTTCTGGCAAAGTTCAGTGCAGGGAAGTGGACAGTGTGGTGGAAGTGGGCCAACGGCAAGGAGCCCGTGAGGCTCGCAAATACTGTGCCGCAGTATCGCGTGCCGGCCGAGGCGCAGGGACAGTTCGATGACGAATTGCAGTTGTGGATAGATGAAGGTTGGCTGCAGCCATACGACGAACGAGAGCACGGACCGGTGCGCGGTTTGATCCCGCTCATGGTGGCGATTCAGGAGGCCAAGAACAAGGTCAGACCGGTGCTCGACTACAGAGAGTTAAATGAGCATCTGGTGCCCCATACGGCTGAAGCCGATGTTTGCCGTGACCAGCTCCGCAAGTGGCGCCGTCATGGAGCCAATGTTGCTGTGATTGATCTGAAAAAGGCCTTTCTGCAGCTACACGTGGCTCCAGAGCTGTGGCCATTCCAGACAGTGATTGTTGGTGGCCAGAGATATGCTTTGACGCGCGTCGGGTTCGGTCTGTGCATTGCAAGTGACGTCATGCGAGCAGTGGTCAGGGAGGTATTAGATCAGGACCCCGATATGGCAAAGGCTGTGCTACCCTACGCTGATGACCTGCTGGTGAACGAGACGTATGTCTCGTCCCAGCAGGTAGCGCAGCATTTTGCCAGCTACGGACTGGAGTGCAAGCCGCCGGAGCGCGTGACAAATGAAGCGGGGGCGAGAATGCTGGGACTGCGCGTGAAACAGGGCTTCGACGGCGCACTGCGATGGACGCGGGACGACGTGACACCGTCAAAGCCACCTGAGGTGTTGACCAGGCGCGCGGTCTTCGCTTGGGCAGGTCAGCTGAGGTCACACATGCCTGTTGCCGGGTGGCTGCGACCAGCCGCTGCCTGGCTAAAAAGGACGGCGAACAAAGCGAGTGACGACTGGGACTCACCGATCGGTGACAATGACTTGCTCAAACAGGTCACTGACGTGGCCCGGCGGGTGACGGAGCGCGATCCAGCACGGGGACAGTGGTGCGTCTCCGGCGAATCTGTCACCGTGTGGACTGACGCCAGTGCTATCGCCCGCGGCGTGGTCCTAAGTGACCCTGACACGGGCGAGGTGATCGAAGACGCCGCGTGGCTGCGCACCGAGGTGGACACCGACATGCACATCAACTTGTCTGAGCTAGATGCTGCGTTGAACGGTGTCAACATGGCCGTGGCGTGGGGTTTCAGACGGCTGGACCTGCGCACGGACTCCGTGACCGTTCAGCGCTGGCTTAC